TTAAGCAAAGAATGAAAACAAATCCCAGAAAGCAGCAAGGCTGGTGCTGGAGTTCTCAGTGGTGAGGAAAGATGAGCAGAGCTGGGAAGAAAAGAGGCCATGCAGAGAGGTTCTTGTAGCGGTTCTTTGGCATCTGGGTAACGCCAAAGAAGGAGAGGTCCCTTACTGAATAGAAACTTCTAAGAACAGGTCTGAATCCTGGCAGTGAGAGGACTGTCATTGAGTTTCCATTTGGGGTTTTGAAGTTCAGGGGACTGGAAGGAAGTCTTGGAAGACACTGCTTCTAATGGGAAGAAAGGAGGTGCATCAGAATCTGGTATATCCCGCGGAGGCAGCAGCCAGTTTGTGAAGAGAAGACAAGACTCACCTGACACTAGGGATGCTACTACAATAAGCCAGGACAGAAAGATGATGGAAAACCTGTTCCCCAAGGGCAGTTAAGGAAATATAATGTGAGTAACAAGGGAAGGAGTCCTCAAATTAAGAGAAACGGAAAGTATCCAACATCCTCCTTTTCTCTCCCTCCTGTTATAGAATTGTCCTGGTTACAGCTGGTCCGTGAAATTCAAAATATTCTAATGTCAATAAGAAAAATTACACTGAAATATTTTTTAACAAGGATACCATAAGAATCAACAGGAAAATACAAATCAAAACTTTTTGTCAAAAAAAAATGCATACCAAAAAATCATGCCATGAACTGAAGAAAAATTGTGACATACTCCAACATGAAATAATTAAAACTGAATGAAAATTTTAAAAAAGAGAAGATTAGCTTTCAAGGTATACAAAGGAGAAAAATCAAGTGACATAGGGAAGAGTAATGTGCCCACAGCCAAGAAGACAAAACAAATAGAGTCTTAAAAAAAAAACAAGGATCGAAGAGAATTTATAATGAACAATCCAAAAATGAAATTTAAAATTCCATTTATAACAGCATCAAAAAGAAAAAAAAAAAACAAGACTTAGGAATAAATTTAACCAAAGAGGAAACACTTGTATGTGAAAACTACAAAATACTGCTGAAGGAAATTTTTTTAAAAAATGAATAAAAAGACATTTCATTTTCATGGATAAGAAGATTTGATATTGTTAACTTGTCAATACTACTCAAAATGATGTACAAATTTCCTATAAAAATCTCAATGACATTCTAAAAAATTTATATAGAATTTCAAGGGATCCTGAAAAGTCAAAACAATCTTGAAAAAGAACAAACTTGGCAGATTCACATACCTTCTGATTTCAGAACTTACTACAGAGCTACAGTAATCAAAACAGTGTTGCACTGGCATACAAATAGACATATAGACTAATGGAACAGCATAAAGAGTCCAGAAACAAATCCTCATACATATGGTCAATTGATTTTAGACAAGGGTGCCATGACCGCTCAAAGAGAAAAGATGGTCTTTTCAACAAAGGGTGCTGGGAAACTAAATAGCCACATGCAAGAAAATGAAGTTTGAAATTTGACCTTTACCCTTATACCGTAAACAAAAATAAAAACTCAAAATGGATCAAAGACCTAAATTTAAGAGCTAAAACGGAAAAAAATATATATATATGGGTTAAAATCTTCATAACTTTAAATTTGGCAATAATTTCCTAAGTATACTACCTAAAACAAAGGTAACAAAAGGAAAAATAGATAAATTGGACCCCATCAAAATAAAAAACTTCTGTGCTTCAAGGGGCACTAGCAACAAAGTAAAAAGGCAACACTAGATATTCAGAATACATAAAGAACTCCTAAACAACAACAACAAAACAAACCATCAGATTAAAAAGTAAACAAAGAGCCTGAACAGACATTTCTCAAGAGAAGACATACAAATGGCCAATAAGCACATGAAAAGATGCTCAACATCCACTGATCACTAGGGAAGTGCAAATCAAAATCACAATGAGATACCACTTCATACCCATTGGGATGGCTATTATAAAAAAACAGAAAATAACTAGTGTTGTGAGGATGTGGAGAAATTGGAACCCTTGTGCCTTGCTGGTGGGAACGTACAATGATGTGCTCACTGTGGAAAACTGTATGAGGGTTTTCTAAAAATTAGAATTATTTTATTATTCAGCAATTCTACTTCTTGGCATATACCCAAAAAAGTGAAGGCAGGGATACAGATACCTGTACACTCATGTTTACAGCAGCATTATTCACAACAGCCAAAAGGCAGAAGCAACCTGAGTGTCCATCAGTGGATGAAAGAATAAATAAAATGTGATATATACATAGAATGGAGCATCATTCAGTTTTAAAAAGGAAAGAAATTCTGACACATGGTACAATATAGATGAACCCTGAGGAAATTATGCTAAGTGAAATAAACCAGTCACTAAAGGACACATACTGTGTGATTTCACTCATATGAAGCACTTAGTCAAATTCATAAAGACAGAAAGCAGAATTATGGTTGCCAGGGCCTGGAAGAAGAGAAAAATGAGAAGTTATTATTTTTTGCATTGGAGTCTCACTCCATCGCCCAGGCTAAAGTGCGCAGTTGCACACTCACGGCCACCCCACTGTCAACCTGCTGGGCTACAGCGATCCTTCCACCTCAGCCTTTCAAGTAGCTGGAACAGGTGCACGCTACCACACTCGGCTAATTTTCTTTTTGATTTATTGTAGAGATGAGGTCTCTCCAAGATGCCCAGGCTGGTCTCGAACCTGTGGGCTCAGGCAATCCACTCGCCTCGGCCACCCAAAGTGCTGGGATTATAGGCTGAGCCACCAAGATTGGCCTAGCCCCGGTTTTAAATTAGGCTGTTTTCCTACTCTTGAGTTGTTTTAGTTCCTTGTATATTTTAGATATTAAATATTTGGATATTAAATATTTGAGTTCCTTGTATATTTTGGATATTATTAGAAGTATGGTTTGCAAATGTTTTCTCCCATTCCGTAGGTTGTCTCTTTACTCTGTTGTTTCTTTGGCTGTGCAAAAGGTTTTTGATTTTATGTAGTCTCACTTATCTGTTTTTGCTTTTTTTTTTGCCTGTGCCCTTCTTGGTGTCATGTTTAAAAATTATTGCCTAAACTAATGTCAAGAAACTTTTACTCTATGATTTCCTCTAGTCATTTTCTGGTTTCAATCTTTAAGCCACTTAGAGTTTGTGTTACAAGAGGGAAAATTCTGGATATGGACAGTGGTTGATGATTACACAACAATGTGAATGTACTTAATGCTACTGAACTGTACATTAAAAATGGTTAAAATGATCAATGTTATGCATATTTTATCAAAGATTTTAAAAAGGACAAAGTGTTTAAGATTGGTATTAAAGTTCTGACTAACGTCTAACTTACTTAATATGTGCCTTTTCCCAAATCCTATCCAACCTTCCAAATCCAGTCCTAACCTAGGTGCAGAGGTGCATGCTTGTAGTTTTAGCTACTCAGGAGGTTGAGGTGGAAAGACTGCTTGAAGCTGGAAGTTTGAGGCTGTAGTGATCTATGATTGTGCCAGTGAATAACTACTGCACTCCAGCCTGGGCAACATAGCAAGACCCAGTGTCCTAAAAAAAACCCGCTCAGATTTCTCTAATTCCAAAATAATGTCATTTTACTTTCTAGATTCCAAAAACTATTACTGTCCAAATGAGTTTATCTGGCAACTAATCATGTTCTGCCTGGTGACAATTCTTCCATGATTGCCTTGAAGAACTACTTAAATATTTGCATTTATTAATATTTATATTAGCTGGGCTTGGCGGCTCATCTTATAATCCCAACACTTTCAGAGGCCGAGGCGAGTGAATTGCCTGAGCCCGCGGGTTGGAAACCAACCCAGGCAACTTGGGGAGCCCTCATCTCTACAATAAATAAAAAAAATTAGCCGGGTGTGGTAGAATGCACCTATAGTTCCGGCTACTTGGAAGACTTAGGCGGAAGGATCGCTGGAGCCCAGCGGATTGACACTGGAGTGGCCGTGAGTGTGCCACAGAACTCCAAAAAAAATATTTATTAGACTTATTCAATAGATTGAATCTTATCCGTGGAAGCGGCACTATCCTATTCTTAGTGTCAATCAAGAGGACAATCTCTTGAGATTATGCCTGGGTTTGATTAATGAAGCTTTTTAAATTTTTATTTTTTGAGTCAGAGTCTCACTTTGTTGCCCAGGTTAGAGTACAGTGGCATGATCACAGCTCTCTACAGCCTCAACCTCCTAGGCTCAGGCAATCCTTCCACTTCAGCCTCCCCAGTAGCTGGGACTACAAGTGTGAGCCACCACACGTGGTTAATTATCTTACTTTTTGTAGAGATGAGCAATTCTCCTGCTTCCGCCTCCCAAAGTGCTGGGATTAAAGGCGTGAGCCACTGCACCCCACCATATTTCTAAATATTCAATTTTTATCTCATTGTACTGCTTCCTTCATTGGTGGATCCTGGACCTTCTTCGTGATTCCCCAGATTGATTGGGCTCTAGACACTTGCTGTGACTCTGATTTTCTCTCAAAGCCAAGAGCCATGGGGTCAGCACAGAATTATGTCCACTGGGGAATCAGTGAACCACCAGCCATTAGGAAGCATCCCATTGTATACTAGACAGATATGGGGGCCAGGTAGGAGATCTTTGCCCCTGACCCATGCCCATCCACCTTCTCATTCTCTGACTCAGGGTGGCATGACTAGTGTACCTATCCCCCAGCCTCTGAAGCCTGGGTGATCACAGAGAGGTTCACAGAATGTAACATTTACCTGAGAGATTGCCTTTATTTACATATACAGGCCCTCCTTCAGCAGAGAATACTGTGGAAGTGTTAGGATGAGAAAAGCCCTGCCATACCCAGAGAGCAACTAGCTCCAGTTCCAGGACCACACACCCTGTATTCCCCTGGCCCATCCCCTCGAGATGCACTCTTGATAGAAAGACTGGACCAGCAGCTTCCCTAAGAGCCTCAATGGCCCCTCTGCACGCCTTTATTGACTACCTCCCACCACCACCCTTAGGCACAGAGAGGAGGAGAAAGAAGGGACCAAGGTGTGGCTACTTCTTTGAATACTTCTGGTAGGAGGAGGGCATATTGGATACAGTGGAATATACTGTTGCATAGGATTCTTGGGAAGATAGAGCCATGGGAGGGATCTCTAGTTGGTTTCTTGTTTCAGGATCAGGGCCCTCTACAGGGGGCATTGTTGGTTTATCCACCTTCAGGTTGGGCAATGTACTTGGAAGGATGGCCTTCCTGGTGGGTGCTTGACTGAGCGCAAAGATTTTGGTGGATGCTGGTGCTTGAATGTCATGCTTTGCGGGGTTCAGAGATCTGACAGTGTTCTTTAAAGGTGCTGATTTCTTGGACGCTGCTGAAAAAGTAAAAGTAAAAAGTAAAGACACTTTCCTCAACTTGGGCAGGATTCATGAATGAGTACAAAAATTCTTGCTTCTTATGTTTTTTCTCTGAAAGGCTTCTATTCTGAGTATCTGTGGAATAGAAAAGATACAAACACAGATTCCTCAAATGTCACTTCTCTACTCTCCGCCAGTCATGTGTGAAATCCAAGTCATCTCTCAAATGTTAGCCCTTCACTTATCCTCTCAGGTTCTCTCCTCCAAGCTCTCCCTACTTCAGGCTTTGTGTTAACTTTATTATGACCCTCCAATTTGGCCTGGGGCTGAACACAGTCACTTTGTAAGGTTCTAGTGCACCATGGGAATCCTCAGAAGACAGGGATTGATATCTGCTTAAAATTTATGTATTTCCTAGCCATTGGTTCCAAATTAGTTTAAATAGAAAAATCCTCGATTAAAATAGGGGCTTTTTAAGGGCAGAGACTTTGTCTTGGCTTGTCTGTAAATACCTAATGTTCAGAAGTATCTGTGACATCACATGTGCTCAATAAATAATTTTTGTCTGACTGATAGAAAAAACATAGGTGATAGAGATTTCTAATAATAGAGTTAGGATATTGAGACCAATCCTCCTACCAAAGACAAATTAAAAAATATGTGATATACAAAATATCTTAAAATTATCTAAGAGTTAAAATATGGCCAAAATTTGGAAGAAAGTGAGATTCCAGAGAAGCCTAGAACTCAAAAGTTTTTTTTAAAACTTAGATCTATATTCTATTTTATTAAAACATTTATTTTTACTTATTATAGACACAAAAAATTGTTTTTGACCTGAGTGTAATTCAGTCTGAAAGAAATAGCTGCACATGTGAGCTATTTGTGTCAGTGTCATTGGAGAAGGGGGATTTTTACTAAATTGGAATGGAATTAGTAGGTAAATTTCATGATAATTAATACCTTTATGATATTAGTTTTCTAATTCATGAACAAGATATATTGCTCCATTTATTTGGGTCTGCTTTATCTCAGTAACATTTTGTAGCTTTTAGTGAGCAATCATATACCTTCCCTTGGGAAGGCTTTGATTAAAGTCTATTATGTCTAATATTAGTGGAGTCACTCCTCTCTTTTGGTTACTATCTGCATGAAACATCCTTTTCTATTCTTTCACTTTTTTTTTTCTGAGTTGGAGTCTCACTCTGTCGCCCAGACTGGAGTGCAGTGGCATGCTCCTAGCCACCGCAGCCTTAACCTGCTGGACTCAAGCAATCCTCTCGCCTCAGCCTTCCAAGTAGCCAGAACTACAGGCGCATGCTACCGCGCCCAGCTAATTTTTTAAATTTATTGTAGAGACGAGGTCTCGCCAAGTTGCCTGGGTGGGTCTCGAACCCGCAGGCTCAGGCAATCCACTCATCTCTGCCTCCCAAAGTGCTGGGATTACAGGCTGAGCCACCAAACCCGGCTATTCTTTCATTTTC